AAAACTAGCCATGTATTTTATTTAAAATGTTATAACACAATATATCAAGCTTAAATTAGTGTTAATATAATTAGATTATAACTTAATAATATTTATAATGACCGATAATAATCAAATATGAATTTATATGCATTGCTATACTTTAACATAGAGTGGAAAACATGTTTAGCCAGTCGTCTAAGAGAATCGGCGGTTAAATCTAGTTGTGGTTTAAATTAAAAAATTTTAATACAAGACTTTAAACATCCATAGATAAGCTATCAAATGGTATATAGATTAATCAAATAAGTTAACCATGGTTAAAGTTATTACAGTTTTAAAACGTTCGCGTTTATGTGACTCAGGTTTTGTACTCACTACAGGTATTATGAAACTATCGGTCTCTCTATCGTAATACTGAAGAGTGAATACGACTATTAGATCTCTGGTGTTGTACTTCACTAACGCCAGCCTATCGTCGGCACACATATTGTTGAAACCCATCACACGTTTAGTGAAACTAATTATATCTGTTATTATTATTTCGTTCATAAATGAATATTTTTTGGCCACTTCTACCAAATCACTCATTTTATACGTTAAGCCGTTTTTATTTAACGGATAGTTTAATACAACCGACGCTCTCATTAGGTCTGATATCCGATTGATTTCCAATTGCTTTAATCCGTTATAATCTGTTAATCCACTGCCTATGCGAATGATTGGCAATTCTTGCGATGAATTTTGTTCATAACTTGTGTTTTTAGTTTCAATAGTTGTTGTAATGTTTTGCTGATTATTATTTTGTTTTGATTTTAGTTTATTTTTAATTATTAGTTGTTTTCTCTTTTCCTTTTCCTCATTATTTAGGATTAATTCCTATAAATATTAACAATAATAAAAACAAATCATTTAACTGATTAAAAAAATTATACCTTTTTCATTCCCGCAGCAAAACACTTATCAAATCTACATTTTCTACACCAATGTCTTGTCCACTGATTTATATTACATTTACCATTTGTTGAACAATCCATAGGCTATTGGCATAAATTGTTAAATTATTATTACTATTAATAATGATATAAATTTAAATCAAATCAATACCTCATCTTTAAGTCCATTTCTCCTAAACCATGCTTTGCATGGCTCACAAGTAATGGCACCGAAGTTACGACCTATTAATCATTATAGTAATTAAATATTATCATATTCATGCAATACTATTTAATTATGACATAATTAAAAGTACTAATTGCTGTGTATTATATAATTGTAAAACATGGTAATAATAAATATAGTAAATACCCGACGCCTTATCGCCACAAATCTCGCATACTTTGCATACTTTCTGAGCACTCATATCGTCACCGATTATATCATTCATTTTAGCATAAGTTAATTGTTAACTTATTTTTGACAAATAAATATAATAATACTGAAGTTTTAAACACCAAAGTGTGTGTATTTAATAGCTTATTGAATCGGAAACACTTTAAATCATATAATAAATTAATTGATACACGAATTTATTTTATTTTTTAAACCTGTTAATATTTGTCACTAATAATATTATAAATTGGATTTATTATATTAAAACTATAATAGTATTTGTATAATGCTAGTTTTTATCCTATGGTAGACAGTATATAATATTAAGTGGGCTTTGTTAATTAATTTTTAGACTACATGAGTACGTAAGTATGGAAAATTTTGTAATTAATTAAATGACGTAAATTTACACGGATGTTATTAAACCCAATTATATATTTTATGAAATAAATATACATTTTATTGTTAATTTTAAGCTTTTTACAAACAATTTATTATTAAAAATATATAATAAGTAAATTAATTTTTACTTAATTTTAACTAAAAAAGAAGTCACATATTATTTTTTAATTGATTCATGTCTTAACAAAGATAATTATAACGGAAATAGCAGTATAGATAAAATACAACCATATTTAGGTATAAGTCTATAACTTGATTACAAGTTAGTAATGAAATTACTTAATTTGTAATGTAAAGTTACCTGTATATGTGTAACAATGATATCACAAAATGATAACAAGCATTTCATTCACAATACATTTACGGAAATATGTGTTATTATAAATACAGTGGCTTTAAATTATTGTTATTAAAACAAAACACAAAACAGTTACACATATTGTGTCAGTCGGACAATGAGTTTCAGTAACAATACCGATGGCAACGCTACTCAAGAGTTGGACTCTGAAGAAATAGACCCACAAATATTGCCACAATTAATCGGGGAAAACCAAATTGGAAAAGGTAGATTTGGTGAAGTGTACAAGGTGGATATAAAGGGTGCAACAAATCCATATGCGGTAAAAGTGATTACAAGGGTAATTAATCATATTCAATATTTGTTTATATTATTAAACTAATTTGTCATTATTAATGTTTGATGTAGGTGGTGGAGGGGGAATGGGACAGGCGTGCTAAAGGTGTGTAAAATATATTAACTATAAAACAAACAATTACATGGTAATTTATTATTTAAATTATGCAGTATGTTTATGCAGCTAACAATAGATATTGAGTTATATTTTAATTAATTATGTAGGTTATAAAATATAATATATTTTATAAATTAAATCTATTAAACATTATAAATCATTAGAAAGGGAGACGATCTTTCAAACCGCGTACCGGAGCTTATGTTTACTGAGCAAATTGTCTCACCAACACGTGGTGCCCATCATTAAAACATTGTGCACAAATAGTGTTCCCAGAAGCTCCCGGAATGGCAGGAGTCTCCAGGAATCGAGGTCTAGCTCCTGTCTCCCGGCGAGGGTCTCGCCTTGATATGAGTAGCTCAAGGAATTTAAAACGCAATTAAAACAACA